TACTTGTTGTTCTTAGAGTATTTAAAAGTAGAATGCGAGGCAGAGCCTTCAGTTTTCAGGCATTCGAAAGTTCCCTCTTCTGTGGAACCAGCTTCCAGTTTGGATTCGGGAGACAGACACTATCTCTACTTTTAAGATTAGGCTTAAAATGCTCCTTTTTGCTAAAGCATATAGTTAGGGCTGGACCAAGTGACCCTGAATCCTCCCTTAGTTATGATGCAATAGACGTAGGCTCTGGGGGGATTCCCATGATGCATTGAGTTTTTCCTTTCCAGTCACCTTTCTCACTCACTATGTGTAAATAGAAATCTCTGCATTGAACCGTACCTGTTATTAATCTCTGTTTCTCTTCCACAGCATATCTTTATCTTGTTTTCCTTCTCTCACCCCAACCGGTCGTGGCAGATGGCCGCCCCTCCCTGAGCCTGGTTCTGCCGGAGCTTACTTCCTGTTAAAAGGGAGTTTTTCTTCCCACTGTTGCCAAGTGCTTGCTCATAGGGGATTATATGATTGCTGGGTTTTTCTCTGTATATATTATTATAGGATATACTGTACAATATGAAGTGCCTTGAGGTGACTGTTGTTGTGATATGGCACTATATAAATAAAATTGAATTGAATTGAATTGAACTGAAATGAAATGAAATGAAATGAAATGAACTGAACTGAACTGAACTGAACTGAACTGAATTGAATTGAATTGAATTGAATCTGCAAAGCTGGCAAAGCAAGTGTTAGCAAGGGGCTGCATTTTCCCCCCTCCCCATTGCACATATTTTTACTGGGATTCCTGATTGTGCTTTGGTAAGGAACATGTTATGTTTGGTGTGCATGTAGTAAGCTGTTATGTTGTAAACTGTTTGGATATGCTTGGGGTTGGGGTAAAGATTTTGCTATATAAAATAGCGCTGATCACATCAGCAGATTGCACCACAATGCCTGTAAAAATTGATTCCTGACTCCAGCTTGTTGGCCTGATGAGCTGCCTGTCACCTAGCTCAAACGGGCTCTCCTCCACACCCTGCTAATTTATAAAGCATTTTACAAGCCCGAACATTATGGCTAACAGGTAAATTTTTCCATATCAGTGCAGCTAGCTAAACAACAAGGGAATACTCAGTGCTTAAGAGACAGTTAAAGAGGACAGTATATCCTCGCTTTCTTAAACTAAAAATCATTGTTGCAGCCACGAGCAGCATAAAAATGATCCCCTTAAACTATTTTTTTAGTTTTAGTGTCCCTAGTTTTTACTGAGTTTCTTTTACTAGTTAACTAACACAAACTAATGTAAGTCAACTGACACCAACCAACACGGTGACGAAACATTCTGTACTGACGAAGATGGTGCTAAACATGTTTTTAAAACTTTAAGCCCTTATTTCTTAAATCCAGCTTCACAGAGTTACATCTATGGGAGTTATTGAGAGCAGGTTTCCATGGTGTAAATACCCTTTATACATTTGGTGTTTCATTTCCACTTTAAAGCTTCAATCAAAACCTCAATGCGCTAATATTCATTATCACTATCAAAATCCTCAATGTAGACTTTACAATATAAAATGATACCTCTGGTCATTTATTTGCTCAATGGCTAAAAACATCACTAATGGTGCATTTTTTCTTACCTTAAACACAAAATACCTTAGCCGAGGGAGGGAAGAGTATTACACTTGTAGTACAACACCAGCTACAGTTAAACTTGAGGTATGCAAAAATTTAGACTTCAGATGGGGGGCGGGGGGATAAGCAAAGGAATAGGCAATAGAAAATAATTTTTTCTGAGCGATCACTACAAACTTTCTCTCCCCTCCAACAGACTTTACAGCCAGACTGATTTGGCTACCATCTATACAAAATCCGATGCAGATGCGATGGACTTGAGGGAATATTATGCATGGGTCTGTTGGTCAAACAAGAATTTATTGGACTTGTTCAGGAGACGTCATCCAGATAAAAAAAGAACATGTGGTGCTATTCATTCTGTCAGTGGCAGGTATGTGAGATCGTTGTTGATAATTCTTGTTTAAAGACGTGTTAAAAAAAATACTTTTTGCATTTTTAGTAAATATTTACAAATAAGTTACAGCTTTTAGATTTACATTAATGGCTGTATTTGGACAAACTTTGAAAAATCTGTTATATGAAATTGGTGTGTGTGCTAACTTTAAAAGAGACTTTGATGTGCTCTTCAGTTTTTGTTTTCTAGTAAGAAGTGGGTAATAAACAGAACCACTGGAAATTTTTGGCGTCACTACACGACCAATAAGTCCTATAACACAGCTGGACACTTTGATTCATTTTTCTCAACCACTCCCTTTAGCTGAGAGAACCACAATCTGCTGCCAGTTAGCCACATTTCCTGACTTAGACTGGAGAGCCGCAGTGTCTCCAGATACTTCAGATAACAGTGCGACTCTTAAGTTTTAAGTTTTAAATGCATCAGATTCTTTCATGTTGTATTGATTCTTTGTCTTGAAAGGGTTTATAGAGCTGAATGCGACAAAAAATTCTTCTTCATATGTGAAGGTTTAACTGAACTTATAACTCAGCCAATGAAATGTGATGATGCTCATAAATACTGCGAGGAGAAGAAGAAGAAAGGTGGTCTGCTAACTTTGTCAGACGATGACCAACTGAATTCATTACTTGGTGATCAGGACTTTCCCATCTGGATTGGACTCCAGAGAAATGGTAAAGACAAACACTTCTGTTACAGTTTTGTAAACTAAAATGTAGTTCCATAACTCAGTCACTGACTTTTTTTTTCTTTGCTTTTTTTTCACAGTTTAAGTCAATATCAGTAGCTGAAAATATAATAGCTTGCAAAATCTCCATCCTTAAGCATGTCTTACAAGTGAGATTCATGATTGTTTAGTTTATGATAAATTATTAAGTACTATTACTAAGTAATCTGGTAATTAAGTTAACTAACTTATTCAAATCTGTAGAGTTGGGCATTTTTTCCCTGCCCATTTTAGCCTTAAAGCAGGTGGTGAAACAGATTGATTACTTGAGAAACAGTAAACATATATTAACCTTATCTATGTGTGGAAAAAATTCATTGTGTTCTGCAGGGCAAACGTGGAAATGGAGTGCAGGCTTGTCAAACTACACAAACTGGGCACCGGATGAGCCGAGTAACAGTAAAAACTGTGTCTCCATCTCGTCTCTCAGCAAAAACATGACTACCCAAGACTGCTCCTCTCGGTTTCCCTTCCTTTGCTACAGGGCTGGACAGGACTGGACAGGACAGGACAACCTAGGTCTCGTAGAGGAGGATAACCTAGTTCTCGTAGAGGAGAACAAAACCTGGGAGGAGGCACTGGAACATTGCAGAGCACTCAGTTCACCCACAAGCTACGACTTGGTCAGCATACAGCCTGAAGACTACGATTATGTAATGGAAAAGTTGGTGGAGGCCAATGCTGAAGAGGTGGGTTCAAATTCAGTGACTCATGTATGAAATGTTTACATGAGATTTGCTTTCATGTTGTTGGTTAGAATGACAACATGCAGCCAACATCTAACCACTGAAGAATCAAATCAATCAGAATCAAAAGCGAAATCCATACAAGATATGTATAGTCCAGAATAGTAGCATATTCTGGTTATTTGTATAAATGATTTCGTGGCCATATTTAACCTTATTTGCAGTCTTTTGCCATTTATAACACTTTAATAGCATATTATGGAAAATGCTTTTTCAGCTGCAAGAGATTTTTCTGTTGCCACAATCGGTGGAATTATTGACTATGAATATATCCATTTTCACTAGCTGCTTTTCCCCCCTAGGTGTGGACAGGTCTGCGTTTCCTGGCTGGTAAATGGCTGTGGGTAAATGGCGCAGATATGTTGTACTCTGACCTGCCCCTCTGCCCCCCAATGGTACAGCACTGTGGAGTCTTATCCACAAACAGCACAGGCAGTATGGAGAACAGAGACTGTGCAGAGAGAAAATATTTTATGTGCTATAGGAAGTAGGGCCCTCAACATCTCTAAAATCATCACCATTAGGGTGGTCCCAAAAATAATTTACAAAATTTACAAAATTTACAAAAGACAAACCACTTGAATTTCCCAAATGCATACATTTGTGCTCAAGAGTTTACTTATCATGGGCATGAACGTCATGGTGTACTTTCTGTTTTAATGATTCATTTGAATTTTTTTATGGGATCATGGGATTGTACAGCATCCATCTTAGTGACTTTAAAAAAATAAGACTTGGGTGCACAAGTTTGAATTTATTTTGGATTCTCTCTGATCCACATATGATCAAAATTATAGATAAATATTTGGTTATATGACCCTTTAGCAAGTTGCAACTTGACCAGAAGGTTATGATGGTCATCAACAAGCTTCTGGCATAACTCTGGTTTAATATCTTCATATATTTTTTTTTCCAGAAGCTTAATATTATCCTGCTTTATCCCAAACCCCAGTTTTGATGTCTGGGACCATTGTCCCGTTTAAAGGTCCAATTATTTTAAATTTTTAACTGTAGCTGCAGATTTAACTGTAAGTTGAAGAACTTGGAGGTAGTCCTTCATTATTCTAACATCTTTGCAATATATCAGCACCACTGAGATAAGAACAGCATTAGATCATGTTGCCACCATCATGCTCGACAATTGGTATAATGTTCTTAAATTTGAAAGCCTCACTTTTACTCCGCCAAACATACATCTTGTCATTGTGACCAAATAAGCTTTTTCTGATCCAACCATATAACTTTTTTCCCAAAGGTTTTTTTTTCATCCATGTGGGATTTCAGCTGACTTTGAAGGTGTCAATTTTAGAACAGATTGTTCTTTCTCTCTTGGCGCACACTTAGTCCATGGCGGTGTAAAACTAGCTTCACTGTGGACAGTGATGCTGGTATTTCAGCAGTTTCCAGGTAATGGCAGGCTTTGGGGTAGTAACAGTAACACGTTCCGAAAGAAGACCCAAAGTGACTACATGTCTGAATAACTTGTGTGCAGTTGTTTAAACTGATGATCCTGGAATCTGCAGTTGTTTAGAAATGGTTCATTCCATCCAGCTTCTGAAATCAGTTGTGTTGCGACTTCATGTTGTGATTTCATGGTGTGCATTATATTTAATTCTGTTTTATTTATGTAGCACCAAATCACAAAAACAGGTACCTCAAGGCACTTTATATTGTAAGGTAAAGACACTACAATAGTACAGAGATGCAGAGAAAAAAAATACAGTAGAATGCCCCAGGTCGTCTTTAGGTACACTGTACAAACTGTGGAAGGTACGTTTTTGTGTAAGATGTGCTTAAGCATCTGGTTTCACAAAACCATTCTTCGATCAATTCTCTTCCGCTTATCCTTCATCAGGGTCGCGGGGAGCTGGAGCCTATTCTATTGAGGCTAGATGTAGCACCCTACTGTAGGCCTTTCCACTGTTTAAACTAGAAGAACAAAAAAAAAAGAATCACATGAGCAGGGTTTAACTCCTTTGAATTTCAAACACAATTTTTTCTTGTCTGCAGCTCAGTGTGTTGTTTTATTCTGCACGCACCTGACATCACCTGATAAAGTAAACCTGAAGAAGGATTTGCAAGAACAAGAGTTAACCCTATAGGCACTAAGACACAGGAAAAGAAAAACAGCACTGGCTTTAGAACTCCAAGCACAGCAAGCACACATCTGCACTATACTCTCCCGTTTAGAACTATTAGCCTGCCAGAATAAGTTAAAGGTTAAATAGTAATAATAATAATGTTCTAAATGGTAATGTCATGACCCTAACCCTAACCCTAAGATATCCAGCTCAGATTTGAAAACATCCGTATGTGCTAATCAGAAGGGGTTTTCCATAACCTGTTATTTATTTATGTTTTTTGTGGTAGGACGACACATTTAGTAATTTATGTTAAAGTGAGATCTGTAATACTGGTCTAGTCTCATGGTTATAAGTTTGAATAACATGTAAAAAATAGGATGGCTAAATATAAAACTCTGCCCTTGCAATCTCTAATTCTGCAAAGAAAGTGGGCTGAGCCAATATTTTGGGGGTTTATTGAAAATTTTCAAAGACATATATATAATAATTACATTATGGGTTTGATTCCTCATGCTTTTGTATTCTAAATGATCCAAAATTAGCAAACATGGCAATAGCAGCTGTAGCCTAAAATAAAGGGTCTGCTTTCCTTTGGTGTGGCTGAAATGTATACATATTTTTTTAAAAGAGCACACTGATTAACTGAAGATCATGGAGTAAATATTTGCAATTATGTCTTCACACATGTCAAACAAAATGGCTTGAATGTCAAAATAATGATGATTATAAACAAAATATTTCAAACAGAAATAATAACCAGTGGTTATTGTAAATATACTTGGAAAACAAGAGTTTATCAGCAGTAAAGACAGTCTGCACAGAACAATTTCTATAAATTGCAGAACAATTTCAGAATTAAGGTCCTCAGTGTAAAATTGCAAAGATTTTGAATGAAGATTTTTTTTGTCTTTCCTATGCCTGAAAGGTTGGAGTGTGTGTGACTGTCTTATCACAATCTTAAAACAATAAAATAGAGTGTTTCATTTAAAAAAAAAAAAGTATATTTACTCTAATTTTTTAAACAAAGGCTAGGTGTGATCCTAAAGGAATTTGCTAAACTTTTTAACAGCTTACCTTATGATTAGTGGATGACCTGCTCTACCTCCTGAGCCACAGCAACAGACAAAAACTAGCTCTAAAGGTAATAAATCTGTGCTTGGACCACATGGATATTAATGAGACGTTTGCAGAGTATAAAGTAAAAATATGCAAACCCTTAGAAAACAGAGTTGTCACAGTGAAACATTTTTCCTAAACAGATTGCTTGCTTGATAGGGCACTGTCAGGTAGATTCTTTTGTAAAGCAAAAATTCATGTAAAGCATGAAGTTTTTTAAGTATTGCATTTTATAATTACCAATGTTCAGTGCAACAGCCTATCACAAACACTCATTTCAATTACTGTAATCTATTGCTAATGCTTATTATACATGATTTTTTGTTTTTGAGTGATATTTAAAATTTGATTCTGTGTGTGAACAAACAATATAATGATGTAGTAGTTTTAGTTGCAGTTTCTTTTTACTCCTTTATACCTGTGTAACTCGTCCCTTCATTTGCCATCATTCAAATGATTTGTGCAGTTGTGATGAAAAGCATGTGACTGTTGTCTTAATTGTTTAAACTAGTCAAATGATTGTTCTCATATGAAAAAACCAACTTTAAAGTAGTGAGATACCCACCTTGAAGTTGAGCATCTAGATGGACTGTCAGCATTGAGCTGAACCGGCTGTTACTCCCCAAACCATTTGCAGCAAAATAGCAAAACAATGATTCAGAGCAGGTAACTGCACCAATTTTCTGCTTTAACACTTCTGCATCTGCTTAATTGATTTAAATGACTGAAAATATTTTAGCTGTTCAGTGTCCATTGATGGTTTTCATGTTTTTTTTCTGAAATGTTTTACTGTATGATTACAAAAAAAAATAAATAAGATAAGATAAGATAACTCTTTATTGTCATTGCACAGTCATACATAGTACAGTAGTACAATGAAATTGGAAAACTGTCCTACGTCGGCACTACATATAACACAACACGACACATCACAACGCAACACGAACAACACAACACAACACAGTATATTAACTTAGTAATAAAAAAGAAGAAGAAGTGTATGTGTATTGCACACTGTTATTATTGCACATTAATTATTATTGCACCTTCAATCAATCAATCAACCAATCTTTATTTATAAAGCACTTTTCATACAAAAAAAATGTAGCACAAAGTGCTTTACATGGTTAAAAGCACCCCACCCCGCCCTCCAACTCACTCCCCACACTTTCATTAACATAA